GCGGGGGTGGCGGGGGTTGGGCAGATCATATCGACTAGCAATGCATGAATACGCAAGCAGTCGCAATGATGGCGTGCTATGTAGTTGCCCATAATCAAGCGGTCCCTCGTGGATCCGAGTACCGCTTATGACACTCAAGTGTCAAACTCGAAGTATCGTGAGGGTCTACCCCTTCACGATATTGCACGGCTTAAGGAATTGTCGTGCAGCCTCCGCGGCACCTCCAGCCTTTAGGCTGAGTGTCTCGACAGGCAGGGCAAATAGGATTTGCGTAGGGGGGTGATCCCTTCCATGCAGAGCCTAGGACTTGGGATGTCCTGGACAAGGACCTCGAATCCAGGCCCAGGACCAACGTCCGATTACGAAATCCTTAAGAAGCATTCAACAATAAAAAGGGTCTTATTTTCTTTCCCCAATCTCAACCCTCATTAAACCCTTAAACGTAGGCCCCTCAGGCTACGCGAACACCCAACATAGGTATATACATGTATATATGTAAAGGGGAATAAGTATGTGACGATCACTTCTCACAATCACAATGGGACTCCTCACATCCATATATCTGTGTGATCGCAGGCAGTCAAATCCAAAATCCAAACTACAGAACATACCTGCAATTACATCAAAAAGTCAACTAAAAGTCCACGCACTACACGGAGTCAACTTTAACCAATCTCTATACTCATACCCCTCGCTTTAGCCATGCAAGCCCCAACCTTTGTCCAACCCACCATAATTGGTTGGAGTAAACTTCAACCAATCTCTATACTCAATACCTTTGTTAAATGGCCATTCAATAAAAGTCCGGGTGAAAACCTTAATAAAACCTTAATAAAACAACAAAAGTCGTCTGGGCTAAAGCCTTTTAGGTTGAGTATTTGAGGATGAATTGGAGTTGAGTTGTAGACCGACGAATCGACAACCGACCTGTTATCAGTGATAACAAAAGGTAATTCTTGTTGGATCAAGCTGAATCTAGTCCTAATTTTTGAATCAAATGTTCAAGAGGACTTGTAACACAAGAGAGACCAATCCCCAAACTGAATCTATGAGTCCAAATCAACAGTAATCTCCATATCACAATTTCATCAAGAATCGTTCTACTTAGCTAATCCCGAGTCTACTCCTAATTCAGTGTCTAATGAAGAGCCAGACCTTTGGCAGAACCTCCTCTATATAGAGTGGATTGCCAGACCTGCCACCTGTCAAAATATAATCTAACTCCTCTAAACTAAGAAAATTTTGGCAGCGCTTCCCGTAGGAAAAGTGCCTTCGCAGAATTTATACCAACTCAAATATGAAAACAAAACAAACTTTAATTCTAGAATGTCAAATTTTGTCTAACTCCCTGAATTAGTAAAAATTTGGGCAGCATCTCCTTTAGAAAGGTAGACTTCCCAGAGTTATACTAAGTCAAATATGAACTCGTAAACTACACTTGAGTTCAACTTCAAGACAAAGTTCAACTGACCCCTTGGATTTGTAGAAATTTCGGCAGCATTTTTCATAGGAAAAGTGTCA